CCACAAACACACATATTTACATGTTCAAGTACACAAATGCTCTATACATAACATTTCACATTCACCCTTCAAAAAGATTCGTTTAATCTCACTTCTTTCTCTTTTTCCTGGCACTACATAACAATTGCTGCTGAAAAGAAAAGACACAATATCTCCTTTTTATTACAAAAAAATCCACTGACTTCTACCAGTATTGAAGAACTCGAATCCAGAGAAATCGAATCTACAAACCGGAAGCCAGAAACCTATTTGGTAGCTTTTAAGGACAAGCCGGCTAACCCAGATTTCGGGGGTTTCCAGAAATCTTGATCTACACCAAAAGTAGGCATTGCCCTACCTCATTGGTGTGTATATTTGTTTGGTTATAGAGAAAACTCTCCTTGTCTTTTAAAGAATCTGAACAAGGGGCAAAAACTTAAGCTTCGATTTTCTCAAAACAGTATTTTTCGGGATAGCCCCCTTGTGCTTAAAAGTGACCATTTTTCCTCCCGGGAGCCTAACAATACGTGTAGAACGTATTCATTTCAGGGATGGTTTCCCTCCGAGTTGAACAACAACAAAAAACTCAAAAAAAAAGCAAAATTAAAGCCACCATCACCATTTCTGAACCGAGCCAGATCAGATCAGTAATTCTGATAAACCTTTTAACCTTATCCATCCGTACGCCCAGGGGTCATTTTGTACCCCCCGGGTTGTATTCTTCACATTTCAGAATACTTCTAGTACGAACAAAGATCTCTTTGAAACTTTCAGTATTTGTCCAAAAATCATTTTGACAGACTGCTATGCGAAGCGTACGGATGGGATCAACGAGTAAATTTCCTCTTTGGAAAGTAGTGGCACAGAATTCCCCACGTCGTTTGGAAACGATAGTAAAACACGACGTACGGATACGGTTAAGTCCATGTGACCTTGATATGTATGTATGTATGAACTTTGACCTTCCCGCTCGTATCACTACGTCATCATCACCGTGGGCACACATCTGTGACGTCAGGCGTCTGGGGGTGTGGAGACCATGGAGTGGAAGGGGAACTTGATGGCGCTCGACGTGGGCGTGTGGTGGGTGGCGCTGGCGAAGGTGTCGTAGATGGCGTCTCTCCGGGCGGAGGCGGAGGAGGAGGAGGAGCGCTCTGTGATGGGGGGTGTCACTTCTGGGGAGG